TTGGATAGGCAACATGTGAAAAGAAAATGCAGGAGAAAAACATTGCTTTACAAACCTAAGTAGTTAATAATAAAAAAAAAAAAATTGATATTTTGCGTATGAAAGTATTGTAATGTATAATCATAATCTGCCAAATTTCATTAACATACACTTACTAATTTAATAGTTAAAGTATGAAAACTATAATAAGCACAAAATGGTTATGAGGTCGGTCCCAGGGACCAAGCCCATGCTGAAAGAGTTAAAACACATTTTACCATGAACACGATGTATTTAATTGAAGTCTTACTTCTAATTTCATATTGTTCAATAATACAGAACTTAAGGAGTTGAACAGAAAGAACTAGAAAGTAAATAAAACAAACACCCAAGTATACAATCCAAAAACTAGTCTACACCCAAAAGCAGCTGGGTCAAAGAAAAAGAGATGGGAATTAGCATTGGCTAGCTGCGAAAACACTGGTTTGTTTTATCATTTAGCAAGTAATTATCAAAGGCCACAGATGCTTTTCTTCCAAATGATATTCTAGATATGATAATGAATATTTAGATCAATCGCATATTACCGCACATAGTTCTTGTCCATCTTTCAGTGGGATCCCTCAAGTTTAAAGCAACAAAAACAGCATGTTGAAACAGTTTTAATTTTTGTAATGATTTTTTCTTTTCATATTAAGAAATGTAATTATTATCACACGCACATATCTAAAATTTGATTGTACTTAAAAAAATATGAAATCAAAAATACCGTAGTCTACGAGATGTTACACAGCTGCCAACACTAAACATGACTGAACAGGGTACATAGGGATCAAAGCCGGAGCAAACATCACATACAAAATACAATTTACAGAATGTCCTACAACATATATTGGAGAAACTGGTTATCCCTCACACGTACAGTTTTGCAAACACTTTAATGAAATTAAAAATATCACACACAAAAAAAGTCTTAGCTGAACAATTTGTAAAATGTCATGACTCGCCTACAGCTATTTACTTAAAATTTTAGCAAACTGTGAAACATTTTACTAAGGGGAAAAAACAACTATTATGAACCATAATAAATGTGACTGATTTTTTAAAACTAAAAGACTATTGTAAAGGTTTAGTTTCATTTTTGGATTGTTAATTCAGACCTCTCTCATGTTTTTCGAACTACTCATTCTTATACAAAGTTCTTTCTATTGTTTATTTAAATTTAATTATTTTTTGACTGTACTCACTGAAACTGAGACAAATGTATCAATAGTAATGCATTATTTAAAAAAACTCATTTCACACTATTATTATTATTTATCCCGCTTGGATAAATATATTATTTTTCTACTTTCCTTGCATCCATCACATTGTTTTATTGCACTATGTTCTTTCTGTAACACACCATTTAATTGCAGTCACCAGAATAGAAAACACTTAGCCCTTAAGAAAAGAAACCGAAACAATGGTTAAAAATTTTTATCTGGTGTTTGTGGTTGTAATTTTTATAATGATTTCTAACATCCCATCTGCATTTAAACACCTTAATTCGAATAAATGAAATGGGATTACTGCAGTTAATTGCTGACAATAGAGATATTGATCACAAGTCTCCATTTTTCAATTTATTGGAGACTACAGATGGGAAAAAAACCTGTTGATGGAACTGCCCATTCCATAAAGCAGCTAACAAGACAATAAGTCTGACTGGATATGAAAAATTTATCAAAAATGTGTAAGAAAATGTTTTTCCATGCATAAAATTTAGACAGAGGTATAGTACTGTACACCAGGGAAATATGTACGGATATACCGTATTTATACAAAATTCTTTTGAGAAAGAAAAAACTATAGCTATTTATATCTGTAGTGTTTATACAACAAATGAAGCAAAAAAGTTTGTTCTTCATTATCATTCTAGACACAGACAGAAAGAAACTGCCAAATTAATCTTTATTTCAGCTGCTAAGCATAGACAGGACAGGTAAGATTTTATTTAAACAGAGGAAGAAAAAGACATTTAAAAAAATGTAGTGATATAATGTAGGATTGAAAAATGCTAGAAAAAGACTACAGACTACCTCACCTACCTAAATAATTTATCATAAAATTGAAAGAAAGTTGGTTTTATTCATCATAATTCCAAGTACAGTTGCAGCAGCTGTCAGATATTTCAGCTGATAATCTTACAATTATAAGTAAAAGAATGACTTACGAAAATAAAACTAACAGAAATGTCAAGAATGACCAGCCTTATATTCTCAATGACACTAGTGACTGTTTTACCGAATATTTGAATGAGTAGATATAAAGCACCTTGAGATGGTAAAAAATAAATTATGAACCACTGTGTTTTCAAAACTTGAATTCTTTGATGTTTTAATTATACAATCTATAAATATTTATTTAACATAATAAAGAAAAAAAAAATTTGTAAAGAAAACAAACAAACCTTTAACAAATAATTTTACTTGTTAATTAAATAGGAAAATAACACATAACTAATTCCTAGTTTTAACTTAATATGTTACTGATTGACTGAAAAAATAAAATGTAACTTGAAAGTATGAACACACCTTGTATTTCATCTTGGGGCACGAATGAATGTAAAATCCCATATAATAATAGCGTATGCCTGGAGCTTCTCGATGTAGTTCTCTACAGAATGCTATTTCTCTGAATGGAAAAAAAATAAATAAAAGTTATTCATAAAATAACAGAACTATTTCATATCTCCTCAGAAAATTATTTCCAATAGATATATATATAGTGCTATTTGATTATTTTACATCTCGATGCCTATTAGTTTTGTCTGTTTCATTGAAGAAAAAAAGAACAAATTTGGTAGTATAATAAAGAAACAGTCCCTTTATATTAATGAACCCAATATATAAATAAAGGAATCATTAAAGTTAAGCACGTTCACTAGTATTTCTAAGACCAGAACTTAGAGACATTATCCACACACACATCTAAACAAATGTTTTTATTTAGGCTAGTTAATGAAAAATGTATGCCATTTTATAAATTTATCTCTAACTTCAAAGCTCTCTTTAATAATCCCTTTAATCAATTGAAATACAGGATGTTTCAATTTCAAACTTCTTACAAGTGTCTTTAACTAACACTACTTCAATGTAACTGATAAAATGACTAAATTTAAGGGTTCATCCTATGATGATTCATTTTTAATTTAAACTTTTTTTCCAAAATGATAATGCATCTTTGCATATAGGTGATGAATGCAAAACACAGTGCACTACATCAAATACAAACCAAATATCAGAGTTAACTCTAGAACTTCAATAGCTTTAATAGTAATTTTGGGTAGAGAAATGTTAATCAGTCAAACTTACCCTCAGAGTAAACCCACACATCTTTAAAGGGTATGAATTACAAGTATACAACCAATATCACCAGCTTTTAAAATAGTTCGGTTACAGAAGTACACTGACACATTTCAGTACACTGTCTTGAAAAAAATAGTATTGTTATATACTCAACATTTTACTTTTACTGCATAGCTAGTAGAACACTCAAATTACTTTCCTTAAAACCTGGGTGTGATAAAAATGGTTTTAGTAGGGTACAATGAAACATCTTTTGCTCATTAGCACTTCAAATCAAAAAGAGAAAGAAATTTCTGTGTTCGAAGCTTATGTAATTAAAGATTTCTATTATAGATGTTAGAATCTAAAAAGGGATGCATAAAGACTTATCATAAGATAATATTAAATAAGGATTTTATATGAAACTATTACCTTAAAGCAGCATATGTACCAAGAGAGAGAAAGCTGTAGTCTGGATCATAGAAGAAGTAAACTGACGAAACACAAGAGACCAAAATGTCTAAAACACCCACTGCAATCAACTTGCCATCCAGCCAGTACTGTTGATGAAATGACCCATATCCACAAGAAGGACCATTGGGCTTTGATTCCACCTTGAAACAAACCTCTACAGTTTACTTCTAACTATCAGTATCAGTTAATTAATGGAACATGTAAAAAAAATCCTTTAAAACAGACTACCTACAAACGTTGTGATAAAGGTATATAAAAATGTATTAACATCCTGCAGATTAAAGATCACAATGGTGTCTTTTACTAGTCAATGTCTATAGAATGGTGCATTACACAAAGAAAAAATGTTTGACTAAACCCATACTTTAGCCTACTTTAGAAGGCATTTGTTTCAATTATTTACAAAGAATTATACCTTAAATTGAAAAACAATTTAACAAATTAAATTCTAATATTTACTCTAAAAATCCAAAAGTTTTAAAACTAATGAGAAACCATGAAAACATATGAAATAAGTGTTTAATTATTTGAAAAATTGCCAAAACATGTAGAAGATTTTGAAAACACATCTAAAATATAACTATATATTCCATATAAATGATAGATTACACTTAAAAAGCATTTGTTAAACCATTGGCTTAACATTCTAAAAACCAGCTGGCAATTTATAAAATGTTCTGCAATGCTTTTGATGTGCATGTCTTAATCAATGTCCATACAGAAGTCATAAGTTTAATGTGACTAGCATTCATGAAAGTTACCTGTTTCAAAAACCTGTGTTAATATTAAAGTCATCAGTTTGACAAGACCAGCTCTTATGGAGGATATGATATTATTTGTATTAATGTAAAAACTATCTGGAGACCAAACGCATTTTACAGCCATAGCATACGTAATGCACATTTGGATCTTCCTGCTCATTCATCACAATTTAACCGACCTTTCTGACTCAACCGATGCTGGATATCACAATGCTGCTCTGATCCCCTCCGACTTTCTTCACGGCTTCCCGATGCCAACAAAATTCATGATTTAAAACAAAAATTAAAAGATAAATGAAAATTCACTGAAAGAAATAAAACTCACGCACGGGGTTGAAGGGGAACGAAAGTCCCCAAGCACCCCAGTTGGGAAGGGCAGACAAACCTAAAAACTTGTTTTCTCTTCCTTCAAACTAAATAACTGCCACGGTTAGTTTTTTGTTTATTTTTTTTAAACTATTTGGAGAACTTGATCAATGTACATGCAAAAAAAATCACCTGCTTAATGTTTTATTCACATTCATGTAGATGTAATCTGGCTAATGTTATCATTATAAAAGTTTATAAAACTGAAATCATTGTGCAACAGCTTGAAGTAGTGAATGAATGCAACAGTGTGTGTTTGAAAAATAAGCATATACATAATAAAAATAATCAATTTTTATGTTCTGGATTAATATACACAATATCAAAAATAATCAAATAATGAACTAAAAATCATCCATAATATTTCAACACAAAATGAAATGTGGTGAAATGTTTAGCACACACACACACACATCACTCCAAAGTAAAAGCTAAGTTATTTCTCAAAAATAACTCATTTTAAAATTTATATATTTCTATCAGCTTTCTTTCACATCACACACTTTATTAAACATGAGTTTTATGAAGTTTGTTCTTATATTACAGGTTACACATTTACATTTTCTGTAACAATTAATTTTAATAATCAATGTATAAAACAATAAAAATCAACAAATATAATGTCTAGAAATTTCAACATCCAAAATTATAAAATAATTAAAATATCCATTAAAATATTGGTTCCAGTATTTAACAGAATAGTATATTTGATGATGACCATAATTAATGTTTCATTGTGTTCTTTACTGTTAGCCACATATAACCTAATCATGATAAAAATAGTTTCATATGAAACTAGAACATGTATGATACACTAGTCATGAATTTTAGTTTAAATTAACCAAACTTCTACATAAACAGAACCAATATCATATATATATATATATATATATTAGGCCTGAAGTGCTTTATTTCAAAATTCTGTTAAGATTGTTGTTAAAGTGATGTCCAATGAGAACTATCCTATCCTGTTTATTAGTTAAACAAGAAATTAATTTGGATTTATAAATGTTGAAATATTTAAAAAATTGTAAATGATCCATTAAAAGCTCTTTACTTTTATATTTCTAATATGGTTATATACCTAAAACTAATTACTAAACTTTTGTATGAAACCCATATGAATAATATATATATAAATATACTAAATGGAAATATAGCATAATTATATTATTTGACATCAAAATTAAATAGTTAATTATGTCATACACATGTAAACAATCAGAAATAATGATGTTTTAAGTTTCAGGTACCTTATCAACAGATTAACAATGGCTTTTGAGCTCAATATCTAAAATAATCTTCAAACTACCTGTAATGGAGAAGTTACAAGAAAGTCTGAGAAGGATTTTTGGTCACAATCAAATTCCGTTTCCTTGTGGATGATCATCTGATATTTCTTGAAAATATTGTGTGTTATTTTGAAGTCCTTTTTAAATTCTGATGAAAGAGGAGATGATCGAACTAACCTTACCTACAACACATAAAAAAAACAGAAAAATCTAGGCACATCATTACAACAGAGATAATTCTGTTTAAAAGAAAAATTATCAAAGTACAACAGAGACCATTTATAACTTTTCAAAGACACAAGGTCAAATATTTGTGTTTTACTTCAATCCATTTCTAAATCAATTCTAATCCAAAACTGGAGGTTTAACAGATACTGTAAATGTACAAAACAAATCCGTGGATGAGCCAACATTTTGAATTTTAGCTCTAAAATGGAAGGATTTGAAAATCCAATTTTTCTTGATAATTTTATAGAAGTGAATTCCAAAATCATAGACAAAAGTGCATCACAATTATTATTACAATATTTAAGGATCAAAGAGTTCACATGTTATTTCAGTCTGGAATGAAGACTTTTTTTTCATTTAACAAAGGCATCAACAGACTTTCTTGTTAATAATGATGTGCCCAGAAGTGGATCAACTATGTGTAAGATATGTATCAAAATACCTCAAAAGGGTTTCTGACAAGAAATCGTAAAAACTGATTTTCTGGACACTTCGTTGGTGGGTCTTTATGAATTGTCATTTGATACTTCTTGTAGACAGAATAAGACTCATCAAATGTTCTTTGAAATTCAACACCAGGAGGACTTGTTTGTACCAACAAAATCTATGCAACAAAACATATGAAAGAAGAATGTAACTAATAGCTGATATACACTCCAGTTTAGGATACAGAAATAAAACTCGGCATATTCCTAATTATACACAAATGCCTCTCAGTTTTTACATGCAAGAACAGAATAATTATTGTTTTTTAACAAAAGATTATTTTTTTGAGATATAACTTTCACATAAACACAGATAAGGATTATGATAAAAGTCAAGAGTTTGAAAGTTTTAGAAGCCTAATATTTGAAGCAAATGGACTACAAAGTGTTTTGGTAAATTATTTTCCCCTATATCTGCTTACATACTAAATGCATTCATAGTATAAGCAATAACTTCTTTTGTAAAAAAGTTGCCTATTTTAACTTAAGACTTTACTAAACGCTATGGAGTTAAACTTAAAATTATCCCTACCCATACTGGGAATTTCTTTCTTCTCAACAACAACAACAACAACAAAAGAAAGAAAGAAAGACTAAAACCCAGTAAAAGGGGATGATGTGAAAACCTCAAATTCTCACTTTTCTGTGATACAGCATCTCATGCTTGTAATACCAAGTAGTAAGTAGGTGGACTCCGGACGGGGTGGGCATCCCTCCTGTGACAATCACTCACAGTGTTTATTAGGGGCTGTTATGTGATTGGTGCCCTATTCAATGTGTCATTATGATTGGGGATAATAACAATAATAAAAGATGATTAAAAAACTTTTGGAAGTGTCCACTGCTCATGGAGTAATAACTGTTATAGACAGAGAACTGAGACAGGTATGATCACAACAGATATCAGAGATGCAAAACTAGGGCAGCTTTCATCACCTAATGAATGATCTGGAAAAATTTTATCATATCATAACAGACTCCTCAAGACCAACATTACCATTCATAGTGTCCTGATTAGCAGTGCACTTGAAATGAGTAATTTTGGGTTTGATCTAATGATCAAAGAGACAGACCCCGTTTCCAATCTCATTTCTAAATTTATCCTTGACACTGCTCTGATTTCTCTCTTGGCTGGAAGATCATATCTCCCTGGATACTTTTTTACCAGATATTTTAGCATCCTTCCTGGGCCTCTCTTGCAAGAGGAATCTATCTTACCAAGCTCAAATAGATCTTTGATATCTTGTTTGAATTCATGGATGGTTTTCCAGCTGTACATTTGGCCTCTGCATTGTTGAGTTGCCCACCCACATGGGAATGAGAAATCAAGTTTGTAGTCATTTGGGACAAAGCTGTACATGTTCTCTTTACCATTCCTGACGTCACCAATACCCAATTCCCCAGTCTGCGCCATAAATAGGGCTCTCATGATCGCAAAGGATCGAATGTCATGTGACTCAACCTCATTCTTCTCATCGGCATCAGACACATTACATTGTGCTTTCCACCTACGGTGTCTCCACCACAGCTGTGCCTGTGTCAGGATTCTCACACCAGTCAACAGTCCAAACCAAGGATTGACCCAACTTGAGCTCTGTCGCAACCACTTTCCCCATCTGTTGATTCTTGATCTTCTGTGTCACTGTCATTGCTCAGCAATGCATCAAATTTACCTTCATATGTATCATCTTCACTTTCAGTCTTAGACTTCTTCCTCTGCATCTTCTCCCTGGGGTGCTCCAGAATTCAAGATGCATCAGTTAGTTCCCAGACTGATGTCCACATGAATTTCAAGTCCAATGCTCAAGTAAGCATAAGCATGGATTGAGAAATCTGATATATCAGAAAGAATTAGTCTTCGATCAGCAGGAACAGAGAAGTTGTCAACTGGGTCATCATAGATAAAAAAACATGTCATTGGTTCGCTTGATAAACTTGTTAAGCTGGCCTTCTATCATGGCTATGCCTTCAGTCAACAGCTGCAGCTGCTTGCAGTCATGCTCAATAAGTTCAGCAACACAGTTGAGCATTCCACCATAAGACATCAACAGAGTAATGTCTTTTGCAGACATCGTGCAATTATTCCTTTCGATCAGCCATGACTTGATGGCCTGTATTGCCATGGCAAAGTGCGACTGTCCACCTGGTGTCTATATGGATCCTGTGCATATAGCACAATGCTGGAAGGAGGAGCAACACCAGTACATTTTGATTACACCTCGCACTATCGCTCTACTTGTTGATTCTATTGATACCCGAAAGATCATTTTTCAGACAAAGCAAAATCACCTCCATCACAGACATGACCGCTACTGCATTTTGTTTGTTATCCTCACTGGAGATATGATCAAAATACACCTTCTGCAACAGGTGAGGCTGCCCCTTGCTCTTCTCTGGCAGGGGATTATCTCTTAGTACTCTACATTTGCATCATTCCTCTATTCCCATAATGGTTGACTGTTTTTTTCCCTGAAGTACATGGGATCAAGCTTCATCTTGAAATCTATTACTACTAAGGCTTTGTCACATATGCCCATGACTTCGCTGAGGTTCTTGATCTAGGATTACACATTTTCAGTCTAAAGTTGCTGATTTTGGGTGTGCATTCGATGTTTCAGGAAGATTTTAGCTTTATGTACAATATTGTTGATAATGGAGAGAAGATGAGTTATCTTTTTGTTCAAATTCCTTCTTCAACTCATCAAAAAAGTGAAATGGTGACAGACAGCTTCTGCAATTGACTTCCTTGTTGGCATCTTGCTGGTTTGCTGTTCCTAGCCCAAAGGAAATGTCATGAGTAGCACCAACATTGCCTTCACTAGCAATATGGTTATCATATTCATACTTTAGAAATGAGCGAGCGAGCTCTGCCTGTTGCAAGAATCCTTTGCTCTTTGCACCAGAATGAATTTCTGCCTCAATCATTCTCCTAGTAACCTTGAAGGTATCACTGACCAGGAAACCTGTGACATAATCCTTGGCCTTGTGGAGCTTCATATTTCCGTTAGTTAAGGTGGCCATCAGGTGGAAAAATGGTCACCTTAACAGCGGATCTGCTTCTGGTATTCACTCATAGTTCCTAGCTGCTTTTGCATTGTACTAGGGGAAAAGTTGTTTTTGTCATCAAAGACAACCTTTTTGTAGCCCCTAGACAAGTAGAACATATTATCTGGTGAAAGAATAAAAGAAACTGCAGTGTTAACTGTGTTTTTATGGAAATACTGTAAAGTTTGTGTCTGCTTCATAAGCTGCTCCCCCTGTAACAGCACCTTGAAGTCTCCACATCTGGAAGCAAAACTATCGGCACTCATCGACAAAACTTCAATGTCACTGGTATCTAAACATTGCAATTCTCGTGGAGTAACACTGGAGCAAATCAGTGCATGTACTACTTTCTTCTCAATGGAATTCTTCTTGGCACAACTGTAGCATGTAATGGCATTCACCATAATATCTCTCTCTCTTGCCACCATCAGATAATGGATGGTTGCTAGGTAGAAACTCCATTGTCTCAGAAGAAACCTGCTGGCAGAAATGTTCAAGTAAAACATCTGCAGCAGGCCCATATAACATGCCTGCTATCCACTGCAAGATGTCCTTGAAGAATCTGATGACTGACCCTTCTTTTTCTTTCCAGCTATGTATAATCTTTTATCTTCTCCAAATCAAGCACAATCAGAAGCTCCCTGACAGATATACGAGTTTGTTCTTTCCACTGCACTTTGGAGACATCTTCACGACACTGCCTTTCACTAAGCCTGTCAATTCCTGTCTCTGCTGGCTCAGTAAAAGTGTCTGGTTTATACAGTGCTTTGTTAGCATTATGGCATAATTTTTTGTTTGACACTGTGAAATTTGTCTGTTGTGTGCCTCCTCTCTTTCACCCTACTTTTAATGCAACACGAATCCCATCAGTCCTAAACAAAAACCACTTCCGGCCCAAAAACCTGGACTCTATCTGCAGAAAGTGATGCTTTGCTGGTGGGATATCAAAGGAGTAATTCATTTCAAACTCCTCAATCCACTGCAAATTGTTAATGCAGAGATCCATAGTCAGCCTTCATCAAAAATGCCCTTCACTCATCAATCAGAAAGGTGTTCTTCTTCTCCATGACAATGCACATCCACACGTGGCATGTTTGACGCAACTCACGATTATGGAGTTGGATTGGGAAGTTCTCCCCCACCCACCATATTCTACAGATATGGCACCATCAGATTACCATCTTTTTTGTTCGCTGCAACACCATCTTAATGGGAAAACGTATACAAATGTGGAAGGTGTTAAAGAGGACATAAACGCGTTATTTGCTCAAAGCCAAGTGACTTCTTTAATCAGGACATCAACAACCTGATTGTAAGACAGAAAAGCATCATTGATAAGAATGGAGACTATTTCAATTAATAAATGTTTTGTTTTGATATACAAGTTGTTTGGGTTTTTCATCTAAAAAAAGCAACATTAATTATTTTGTAAATTTTATAGTTAAAACTAAGGAAGATAATGTTAAAAATTCTTATATAGCATTTTTGATACTTACTGATTACTTTTACACTTAAAATTAATTAAAAATCTTTTATGCAAATCCATAAAAACAATCATTTGAGGATGAGTCTAAATACTTTATATCTTAGCAAGTTCCTTGGAGATTTGATAATTTTTTTAAAGTTTCTCATAAATTTCATAGGTTCAATATCAAATTCTAAGCCACAATAACAGAGAAAACAAAATTATATATTATTTGATGACCTATGCCAAGTTTTTTTTTATCTTTAGTTTGGTAAAAGAATAAAAATAAAATTCTTATTATTCCCAGTAAGTTTCTAGTTAACAATTCCTGATGAGTTAAAAATATTTTCAATACCAGAGCTAACTATTAAGACAGTTCTTTACCTTACAAACTTCAAGCTCATTCTTTCATGTTGTAAGTCTCATAATTATTATTTATGAACAAATTAAAAGTGTGTTAATTAGTCAGGAAGAGGAGACATACAGATATGATTATCTGAAGATAGTTATCAGTCGTAATTACAATTTCTTAGATAATGTTTCTTTTATTGGTATATCTTTAAAATCACAAGTATCTATAAAAAATAAAAATATCTTTGAAAAATGGTTTTCAAACTTCCTTTTGTATAAGTGGTGTTTGGGTGAATAAGTATGACATAGATATGTAACTGTTGGTGGAAACAGATTACTTTGGAATGTGGGCATGGCATCTACCAGAAAGGAGAAAGAAATAAGCTCCTTCTTGAAATGTTAACTGTTGTAAAATGATACTAATGTTTAGACTTTGACCTTGTATTTGTAGAAGCTTGTCTAGATTGTTGTAGAGGTTCTGAGACAAAACTGAACAAAAACATACGCAATCAAATCTAAGGCATTTCAACTGCACATGTATCACGTGCAACAAATTGAAGTTTTAATTGTTTGTTTCAAAGGTTTCTTTCCTAATAGAGGAATAATAACTTGGATAATATAAAACTTTGAATTATAATATATTTGATAATGCTAATTTCATTAAAATATATTGACAGTAAATTGGTTTAATTAAGTTTTGAATGTAACTCAGTAACACTTCGTGCTACATTTTTTATAAGGTTAATTAAATTTTGAATGTAACACTGCAACCTGCACAGAAAGGTGTTTAAAGGGTTAACTACTACACCATACTCAGCACCAGGAAACTTTGAAATCATAAACTACTGTATTAACACTTACAAGTGTTAATAGCTTATGTAATCACTTGCAGTGCATAATGTAATTACAAGTTCTTGAAATTATATGAAATATATACATTACTACATAAGAATCTAAAATAAAACTTAAAACACCTTAATGTAACACTAGGTTGATTCTATTGTAAAACAAATCATGAAAAAAGTTCAGAAATTAATGAGATTTTTTTAAATGTCTACTAAATAGTTACCTCCAACCTGTGTGCAGGATTTTCTGGTAAAGGTGCTTTTAAAAAATCTTCAAGTGATTTTGACTCATTAACGGAGTTTTGATCCTACAATCAAAAATATAAGACATGAAAATATTTCAGTTTGTATAAAGGTATATTTTATATAAATTATATCTATCAGAAGAATCCATATTTTTTGTTACCAAGTCCTTAAACTTTAATGTTACATTCAATAAATGTTTTAAAATGCTTAATGGTTGCCTCTTACAACAACTTAAGTATAAGAATACATGGAAAAAATCAGAAATGAAAGCAAGTATGGAAATCATGAATTACATTTCATGTATGTTCTTAAATTTTATCACCTGATGATATAATTTTTGCTTAATGAGTCACAAGCATATAATAAAATTTTGAACAAAGCATATCAATCTGCATTAATATCTACTGATGATTAGTATAAATTTCTACAAGTGACTTATTACTAGATTTATCTATTTTTATTGGATCTAATAAAAGAATGCGACTTCTTCCCAAACCAATAAAACAAACATAATTTTTGTATTTTTAACTATGTCTAACTAATAAATTTTGGCATATTAGTTCAGCCAAATAATAAGCTCTGCTACAACATGTTAAAAAAACACACAAAAGAGAAGTGTGAGTACCATTAAAATTATAAAAAGTAGTGTGTAAAAACAGGTAAGTTATTAAACATTTTGTTATAGCTGTTTAAAGTTAACATTTTCCTAAATTGAAAAAGTATTTCCAATTATACTTACCTCCTCTCACACTTATAGCTATTTCTCAACTGCCAGGGTTTCATCTTTGCCCACCTAAGCATTTGTCTGAATTTTTCTCGCTTGCTCCAGTCTTTTATAGCCCACCCAATTGCCCTTTGGCAATATATGTCTCGTGATACTCTCCACCTACGTCAATGCACACTCTATCCTGGTACTGGATATAAGCACACCATTCAGATAATTTTATCACTTTTCGAGACTGATACTATCTCAGTCTCTAACACCAGCTCTTACTGGAGACGAAGGATAGGAGAGTGTCAGCAGAGGTAAGTATTATTGGAAATACATTTTCAATTTAGGAAAATGTCAACTTCCAAAACATACATACCTCCACTCCCACTTATAGCTAGAGGGTATTATCCATACAGAAAGCATCTACATAGATCATGGGTGTACCAAGATAAGAGTGGTACCCAAGTGGGGGAACCGCACTACATCTAGAACAGGTATGCTCTTCAGCCTGAACTTAGTCCCTGTAGCAAGGGTGGATTGTACGAGTAATCACCACTATAGGCTAGCCTCAACCAGATTGTTGAGGTTTCACTAATCAAGGTTGGAATTAAGGGGTCTTGGTCCCTTTATTCCACGTTGGTGGCTAGGGCATTGGACTGTAACATTATATATAGATATACTTTTGACTGGGTCCCAACCCGTAGCCATAGAGTGATGCATTCCTAACCACCGGAAGGTGCACCATATCTGATCATGACTGCCTCCACAGAAAAAGAGTATAAAAAGAAGTGGAAGAGTTGAACACACCAGAAGGGACTGCAGAAGCAGAAACCTGGGCAAAGTTTCCAATCTAGTGCGATCAACAGGATCTGACAATGGGTTTAAACAAATCAAATTTCTTGCCAAGGGTAACATATGAAATGGAGAGAAGGTTGAGTGCAGTAATCCCATCATGTCCAGATGGAAAGCATCTATTGCCAAGGCCCAAAGATGAGGTACTGGAGACCAAATTGCCAGTAGTAGGGTAATTCAATGAGAGGACAACCCACCAATTAGAGCTGAAAAATGAAAGCCAATCTAAATGAACCTTGCAATGCAACATCTATTCTGTCAATAGTTGGATTTAGACAATTGACCTGCTACCACAGGCATCACCTGGTGGACAAAGCAAGCTAAAAGGGTGATAAGACACCACCACAGAGAAGTCAGAGTGAAGCCTGACATGTTACCCCTTAAGAAGCCCAGAGCATGAGAATTTGCCTGTAGAAGAGCAAGAAGGATGAAAACATTGTGTAGGGAATCTGTCATCAATGTATAGACTCTAGTTTTCTTGAGTGGTGGTATATGTACCTCATCCCTGAAGCAAAGCATTCATGAAAAGAATGGAACTTTGAATGAGGTGGCAGTAGAGGAACCTAAATTTTAGTATCATCCCAACTTAACAACCCCCTCGAGATCGAAGAATGATCCCGACTAAGGAATCCAGGAAACAGATGTGTACTACCCCTAGTTGCTTAAAGACCAATAAAAGGATCGTTTGTGTTCTTGCCCCAAAGGTATGAAGGATTCAAGTGATACCCACATTCCCAGAAGAGAAAGAACCATCTGTGCAGTGGGAGAAGTGAGTAGGAGTGTGGCATCCTATTCTGTTGTGTTGAGCACAATGGGAGACAGCTGAGCTTGACTGAGAGATGAGATGAAAAATAAAAATACTCAGACTGATGACATGTTGAATAGGAGCAAGAATAGATGTTGCAGTCCCAAAAGAGAAGCTTGCCTGGGTTGTACCTGAAAGCAGAATCAGGATGTTATTGTCTAACAATTGATGAGATGTTGTCAGCAGTAACCAGTCATCCATGGAATGGTGTGTACACAATACAATGGAATGAAGGGGATGAGAAAACTCGTGCAATACAGCAGAACCCATGTTAAGCCTATGCAAGGCCAAATAAAAAAAACAGAACTGCATTACCTGACCCTTGTACACCACAAATGCCGATAGTGGAGGGACTCCACCATTAAGGCAAAGCACAGATAGGAACAAACTACAACTAAGTTATACATTTACAATCCCAGTAAAAAAATCAACACAGATTGAGGAATGATGATTAACTTGTGAACCATGGAGAATCTAGACAGTGATATAGACAAAGAAGATTGATGACAGGACATCAATTTCGTGTCTTCATAGGCTCAACAACTAACAGGAATAAAAACTCTGAAGAACTAGCCTGACTCACTTACTACCCCCAGACCAACCAGACTCAGATAACCCTAGAACTAAGTTCCAAGTGAACTGTGGGAGATGTAAACCTACGGGTTGGGTGGATAATAATGGGGAAGATGTGAACTAAACAACCAATTGTGACTGAAGGACCCACAGAGCTTCTGGACCATTGGGTAAGATTACCACATGTCCAGAAAATCTTGGAACCAGGCCCCCACAGCACCTGAAGGTATACAATAATCATCAATGCTGCTGGCAATCCAACTAAGCAGTGGAAACCTTGGATATAGACACAATCTATTCTAAGTACCAATGTACCAAGGTGCTGATGTTGAGGATCGGTACTCACAAATAGGGGCAGAACTATGACCCCTCTGTAGAAGCCGATGAAATTAGAGACTCCAACAACAACCAGGAGGAATATAGAAGCTGAAAATTCAACCAATGCGCATGTTAACAATGGATCCAGCTCGCCCTCAATGAAACTGGTGATCCTGAGTCTTCTAACAAAGAGAAGTGAAAAGAAACAAAATGATGAAAGCGAATTGTAAGTCTTTTGGACTTGCTCTGTCCCCTCAGGGGACATAGACCTATACAAGTGAACTACAAACTCCACCTTAAAACCACAAAATTCGAGAGGCAGAACAATGCCTCCACCTAGTGGTGGTAGGTGAAATCACAAAGTTCCGACAACATGTTAGATAGGCCGTAACTGTCCCTTCACGCAACTAAGTAGTAAACCTTCCAATATGACCAACAATTTCCAAATATGGAGAGAAAAAAATTGCTCCAAGACCTTTCAGCCATCAAATAAGTTGCAGGCTCAAGAGCAACCGTGAAAAAGCCCAAAACATTACACACTCGAAGAACCAACAAAAGAAAAACAAATCAAAGGCAGCTTATTCCAAAGCCTCCTTTTCGTTCTTCATTATTCATTTAAAGACTGTGGTGATTATCATTGATTGAAACAGCATCTTGTGAGGTAAAGTAATTGTTTTGGAAGAGCAAAACAACTACAGGCCATCTGCCGCATCCACCCTAAGAAATCAAATCTCAGTGCTGCGAGTCCTTAAACTTACTACTGACCCACAGGGGGGCTGAAAACCCAACAGACTAACATGAAGCACAGAAAAAAGCGAATTCAAAGTCTCTCTAAAATGCAGCCTCAGTACCCTCCCGAGGACCACCACCGGTCCAAATACATGTCTTCATCTCACTACGAATAAGATCACTGACAGTCTCAACTGACCAAGTGTACTAGATTACTGAAAAAAGTAAAATTTAATGATGGGTGACATATTTGTTTGTATTAATGTATAAGATATTAAAGTCTACAATATACCTTCATTTCATGGTCTTCACCTTTAACTTTCTTCCTTAATTTCTGTTGTTTTTTTTCTCTTCTTAAAACTTTGGCTTTTTTGCATAATGGCTTGGTTGGATCGGGTCCTTGTCCTGTAGGTATGTATATAGACAATTATCAATGTATGGAAATTATATTTAATAAATTAAAATGATCAGCAAAATTTAATGCTTTCAATTATGTACAATCATTATGTTTTATAAAATAACAGCTAACCCACTGTGATAAGTGTTGTATTTTTTGAAAACTTTAAAATTTTATAGATTATAATTCTAAACAAATGTGGTATGCAAATGCCACATACATTACTTTCCTAAAACAAATTTCATAGTTTCGAAATTTGTAATATTTTTCTTTCTAAAATTCAAATTCAGAATATACAAAATCTGGTAATGATCATGTTCTCATTAAGCTCCAGATGTTATAATATGTCACAGGATTTAGCTATGGGAAACTACCTACTATTTTTGAAACTTAGAGTGCTGACTGAAGGATGGAAACAATTTTCAATGAAGGCAACAAACAACTTCAAATTAATATTTGTTTATTCAACCCAATGTTTCAGCTTATGCTATTTTTCAAGGGTCTACAAATATCACAGGTTACAAAAACAAAACTGATTTGAAATGATAGTAACTGAAAAGAACATGAAACTACAAAAATGTAATGGAATGGTGCATCGTGAAGCATAAAAATAAATAATTAAGAATAATAGTATTATAGGGGCCAGCATTTGGATTGAATCAAAAGAGATTCTTTAAATGTTCTGTACAGAAAGTTGTCACAAATCTCTAAAATTTTGATCCTATAAGGTGTCTCATTATTTATGTTGTGTTTGTTGATGTAATGTTCAGAGGTGGCTCCTTTGTTGTCAAGATTTGCAGTGAAACGAATGTGTTCCTTGAAACAATCATGTATTGGATGACTGGATTCACCTACATATGGTGTCATTTTATAGACAGTGTTCCTATGTGTGCAGGATTTCTCTAAGCCATTGGTCTTAGCAAAGCACTTTTTGGGATTTGCATGGGTTGTTTTTATTGAAGGCTGACCGAGTAAGTATATCCTTCAGTTTTTTACTGAGTTTTTGTATGATGTGTATATTCAAACCAGATTTTCTAATCGCTTGATGAAGACAAGTAGTTAAAGGTTCATCCACAAAGGGCATAATCCATGAGACAATGTTTTGATGGGTGGTTTCTTTTTTTGCTGTTGTTTGTTAAAATCATGGAATATCTTAGAAATGTAACTATCTGGATAGCCATTGGAGAACAGTAGCTTTTGAAGTTTCATTCTGGCTTACACCTTACCATCCATGGTGTTGCAGATTTTTTCAATCCTACTAAGTTGACTGATAATGACATTCCATTTGGTAGCTGGTGCGAGTTATAGTGTAGAATAATGGGTTTAACCCTCTCGCAACAGGTTCAGTATAAAATACATGAATTTGTATACACATTTGCACACATTAAGTATTTATACTATATCTTATAATACATTATGTGTATCTTCACAAAATTTGGTAGATTTTAGTAAACATTACAAGTCTTTTGTACTCATAAAACCAATTTTAAACAGGTTCAGTATAAAATACATGAATTTGTATACACATTTGCACACATTAAGTATTTATACTATATCTTATAATACATTATGTGTATCTTCACAAAATTTGGTAGACTTTTAGTAAACATTACAAGTCTTTTGTACTCATAAAACCAATTTTAAACAGGTTCAGTATAAAATACATGAATTTGTACACACATTTGCACACATTAAGTATTTATACTATATCTTATAATACATTATGTGTATCTTCACAAAATTTGGTAGACTTTTAGTAAACATTACTGGTTTTTTGTACTCATAAAATCAATTTTTTTAATAAAGTATTTTTACTAAAGATTTGTTTGTAAATATATTGAGTCTGTTTTGTTACTAGTCCAAGTGAGAAAATTATTTTCATGTTATGGTTAAAAAAACTATTCTTTGTCCCAAAAATCTCAAATCTCTAAAATCTCCTAGATATATTTCAGACGTTTTTTTTCAGAAAAACTTTATATTTTATCTGTTATTTTCTATACCCTAACTCTATACCAAACTCATAACCACACACACACACAAAAAATCAAAATAAATTTAAATTACCATTTTCTTCTTTCTAGAATGACTTCAAATTGTAACA